CCTCATCTGCAGCGTGCACCCTAAGACAGAACAGAGTAACACTCTGAAAGAAAGTGAAAGTGGCATCTTAGGTGATAGGCTTGTAAATTCAGAATAATTACTAAGTTTCTAATACATGAATACATAGAAAAATACCTCTTGACATATACTAAACTTCTATATTGATGAGTAAAAATGATGATGCTGTAATCTTTGAAAGCTCACAAATATGCTTTATCTAAATAGCCAATATATTAAGGTGATTCAATGACTAACGTACATTGTATGAGATCATGTGCATGTATTATAGCAAAAGATCTTGTGATATTTGATGCATACCCACTGAGTTTTAACTTGATAAAGAAAAAAGCCATGGGGGCGCCTGGGTGGCTCAGTCAGTTAAGTGTCCAACTCTTGGTTTCGGTTCAGGTCATGATCTCATGGTTTGTGAGTTTGATTCCTGCATCCAGCTCCGCGCTGACAGTGCAGAGCCTGGTTGGGATTCTCTCTCTCTCTCTCTCTCTCTCTCTCTCTCTCTCTCTCTCCCCCTCTCTCTTTGCCCCTCCCCTGATCATTCTCATTTTGCTCTCTCTCTTTCTATCTCAAAATAAATAAACTTCAAAGAAAAAAAGAACTCAGGGCATACCAGCAACAAATCCCCTAGATTCTCAACTTCTTCCTTGAACATTCCTTCTCTTGCCTTAATTCGGTGTTTCTCAATCCTGGCTGCACTTCAGAACCATGTGGGGAGCTTCTTAAAACTCCCAATGCCTGAGCCTCCTCCCTGGGGGTGGGACCCAGACATCAGTAGGTTTAAAGCTCACCCAGATGATTTCACTGTGCATAAGGGTGAGTACCCCTGGACTGACACCCTATGTTCTCCCTTCAGGGACTGTTCCCCCAAGAGAACTCTCTTGTCAGGGGGCCCTTCTTCTCCCCCAGCTCTGGTACCACCGGGACTCAAGTGGGCAGGCCGCTGGTCCTCATTCCCACCTCTAAACACTAAATCTTTCTCCCCCAAAATCTAGCTTTCTACATTTCAGACAGTTCCTCAAACAAATGGGGATCTCTTGCATGCGTGTTTCCTTGCAATTGCTTTTTCTCTACAGTAATAGTCTGCATCCTTCGGCCATCAGAAAAGCAAAGTTCTCATTTAAAACTCACTTCACTGGTCATCTCAGCCCTTCCACGAAGCCCTCTCAGTCTAAGCTTAAGAGTATTGATCAAATGCTTCCTCCACAGTGCATCCATTCTGCAGTGCTATTTTAGTATTCATTACATAGCCAACGAGAAGCACCTACCGTTGTAAGAAATTCGTAGTATAAATAGGAAAATTGTGAGCACATTAGTCTACAAAGAGCCCCAATTCATCAAATGTGGTGCTAATATAAAACTGGAAAGATTACCCCATGTACCAAAAAACCTCTTTTCTTTAGAAAGATTACTGCCATAAGAAATGTAGCATGGCATCAATACTATGAAACAGATTTAATTATTGGAGTACCGATCAGGCCCTTAGCAGAGAAGCAACCTACAGGACAAGCCACTCCGCAGATGGCATTTTATTCAGTTTCTATGCAAAGCATGAGGTACCAAGTTTAACTCTCATTTTAATGCTGCTCCATATGAAACAGTTCACTCTAATTGCTGTTTAGTCATTTATGTTATGAATCAGTCTTTTAAAAAATTAATAAATAAATGTGTCACCTCCTCTGAGCAGAGCCAAAATACCATGCCCTGTCTCTAGCCCGTCCCCAGGAAAACACAGAACACAAACCATTTGATTCTTTATATAGTCACATGGTCCCTCTTGATCTTACCTATAGTACGAAAAATAAAAAGATCTGTTTCTTTGAATTTATTCCTTTTCTTAACTCCAGAGCCCCATTTGTATAACTTAATCCACATGTTCATATCATAATGGTGCTTAGTAGAAATAGGAGCCAGCGAAACTGCATTTTATGCTAAAAACCTATACCTTCTCCCTCTCACTTGACAAAAGATACACTTTTAGTGTATGTAGAAATGATCTATATATACCTTTGTGGGCACAGTTGCAAACATACAAGCACTTTTCTCTTACATACTTAAAACCTCAAAGGGCATCACTGGCCACGAAGTTTTTTTAACAGTGTTCCTTTTTAGGGAACAGAATGTTTTCATGTTTATTATAATCTAGTCTTGCCCATTTATCAAGTTAAATAATATGAAATTTTTAAATCAAAACCTTTCTATCTTACAAAATCTCTTCTCAGAGCTACCAATAAATAAAAGATTTAAAATATAACCAAGCTTCCTTGTTTTCTCCCCTAGGTACTACAGTTTAAGCCTCATAAAAATGAGTCTGTAGTTAAGTACTGTATATATATTTTTTCCCGAAGTCAAGCCAATTGTCCATATATAACAAGGAACACTCAAAAAATGTGTTTAACAGAGCAAAAGACGAATTCGGAGCGCTTAAGATTTGCTGTAATAAAGCTTGCTGCGAAGTGGTAAAAATGACCTCATGAGAGAGTAAGCAAGAAGGAACAGAAAAGCAAATAAGAAAACACAACAAAGTGAAAACATGACAATCTGAAACCCGAAGCTAATGTGTAGTAAACTTTATTTTGCATTTTCAATTCCTCTAGGGAAAACTATTCACCTAAGTATAAAAATTTAACTTCAATCACATAATATAGAGAGGAGGTGACAGATTAAAGAGGTTTGGAAATGTTCTTACCACTACTCTAAGGCTGGTGTATAATGTTTCCTAACAACCAAGCCCTCAGGATATTGATAAGTATTTTATAAATAAAGAGGTGAATGGTCACAATCACTAGGAAATCGCAAGCTTTACCAAATTTGACCAGGTTTCTTTACTGTAGAATTTCAAACCCTTCAATGAGCCCATTCGCACCGTGAACCTCCCTAAGCAGGTACCGAGGCCACAGCCTGCAAATCTGTCTTACCACAGAGCCCTATGAACGTCTCCCAGAAGACTACTTTATCACAAGCAGTTCGGGAAAGACTAGAATATACAGGTGCCCCATCCAAGTGGTTAGGGGACTCTCTCCCAGGGCCATTAGGAATTTGACACTGCACAAAGACTAAATACAATCATGTGTTCAGTACCCAGGATTTCCTCTGTTGAATGTGTGTGTCCCACTTACAGAGGAGGACAGGGGGAGAGCAGGGGGAGGTCAGTAGCGAAGGGATTTTCTGCCTGCATTTCTTACACACCTGTTTCTGCAGTCTGAAATCTCCATAGTTAGGCAGCTGAGTTGGAGGCCTGCGCTGAGCACTGCGCTTACTGTTTACCCTGAGATGGGAAATCTGGTAGACAAAGAAGCAGTCTCGTTCATTAACAGTGACTTGAGAATTCCCAGCCCCCCATCAGATCCTCAGTCACTAAGCCCCAAGGCAGGCAGGAAGCCCACTCAAGCAGGTCAGACGAGGCCCGCTGATAGCAGCAACACATTTCACAACCGGGAAATAACTGCTGTCACATGTGCGGTAGAAGATAAGGAGGTTGGTCACAAAAGCCCTTTCAGACAGGTCTTCCACGCATTCATCCAGGCGGCTCCCAAGCCCCAGTTTGAAACCAGCAGCTGGTGGGTAACCGCCTCCAGAATGCCCACTCTTCTGTTTTGACAAAGTCCCGGTTTGCTATTGGTGCCAATCAGGAGCTTGATCTCATCTATGTCCTCCACAGGAAGACGGGGTGAAGGCCTTACCTGCCAATGCAACAGATCACCGTCTTACTGTATACATACACATCGGCTTCAAGGATGGGGAGGACAGGGATGTTTAGGAGATGGACTCTGACCGGGGAGCTGACTCTACCTATTCACTAGCTATGTCACCTTAGCTGACTTGCTTGACCCCTGTATGTTTCAATTTCCTCATCTATATAAAAATAAAGCATATTAGCACCTACTTCATAGGAGTTTTGTGAAGATTAAATAATGTGCTGAAAGCACTTAGCACAATAGGTGCTCGATAAACAGAACTAATAATTTAAATGAGCAGAAATTATAAGCAGGGAAAAGCTCGGAATGGAACTAAAGCTTGCTATTAGATATAAATGAGTATTTGTTGGCTGATTAATCAACAGGTCTTAGAGTCAATCCTGGAGCGTTGGAAAGGGGGTTCTCATTCGTTTCTATGTGAGTCAGGAAGAACGGGGCTTTTTATTACCCTTCAGACTGAGGCAGGAAAGCAGGACCTCACTGTATTTGCACCTCAAGGTTGAGTGGATGCTAAAGATGATCTAATTCTCCAAAAGAAGGACAAGCAAATGTTAAAAGTGGCTTCAGAGACTCAGCGAATCCTAAGATGTGGCATACGGAAAGATATGCTCTGGGCAGCATTTTCTGCCGAAAGTTAGAGAGGGCCTTTAAAGGCACAAAGTTTCTTCAGCAGCAGTTAACAAAAGGAATGACCCGTAGTGCCCTTTACCGCATTCCGCAGATTTGCTGCTTCCTTCTCATTTCCAATTCTACGAGCAGTGTTGATGAATAAGGCCATAGCAGCACATAAAAATAAGGCAGAATGAATTCACAGGCGAAACAGATTATGGTGACACACTCTCCCAACTCCTGATGTTTCAGCTTATTATTCCAAAGGAAGATACCAACCTAACGAAAGCACTGTAGGCTCAAACCACAGCTCTAACACCATGGTGATGGCCATTTATTTTTAGTTTATGCAGAATTCACAAAGCTCCTAAAACATGATGAAAATATACACACCCAGACTGTACATACTATACAGAAACACCATGTCCCCCACCCCCAAAGCCAAAGGTGAACCAATACACATTTGTTTGGTTGCCTATTGAGGGAACTTCCACTTTTCTACATGAGGTTGAGGGACTGGCTAGGTAAGAAGAAATTCAACCGCTCTCTCCTTTGTCCAGATGTCATCTTGGGAATGTGACCAGCCAGTTCTGTGGCTATCAACCCTTGCAAAGGAAGCACAGTGATAGGACCACTTCCCTAGTACCGAACAGTTCACAGAAATCAACTTCTGTCTCCTACCTGTGATGGACAAGGTCTTGGAGGGAGCGCAGGCGGCGGAGGTAACAATCCTGACTTAGTAGCTGAAAAGAAAAACACATACTGTTAAGAATTCCCAAACACAAAACAAATACCCCTCCACTTCTTAACTAGGAATAGCAATTGCAGTTAACATGTTTAAGTTATTAAAATCCATCTGAAGGCTTAATTTAAAAAAAAAGCACATGCTATTTCTAATCCCTTTTTCATCTGGATCCTACCTTCTCCAAATCCAATTATTTATATAGGCTGTTGTGATTAAGACCATATAAAACAGTAAGGAAAAGACACCTTTTGATCAAAGCACTGGAACCCAGCACGGGAAAGGCGGTCAATCCCTCATTATTCTGATGTTAATTATTTAGTTTCAAATCATCTAGGCCCTTAGGTTTCTCTAACATGTCTCCCTCTCTCCCGGCCATTACACTGCTCATTAGCTCAGCAAGGAGGCTACAGAAACGAAGGGAGCCAGAGTTTCCGTGACGCAGCTCTACTGCCCTGTAAGCGAGTAGGTCTGACAGCAGCAGGGGACGCTGGAAGAGACGGACTAAAATGATGTTTACAGACCCTTCAAAGATCTCAATTGCCTTTTCTCTCCCTGATCCTTATTAGCAGAAATAAGAAAATCTGTTTCTAAAATAATCTGGCCCCATTTGAAGGATGAAGGGAAGTTTCAGTCTAATTTTTTTTTTAATTTTGTGAGATCTAGAGAAAATTTGAGTTAAGCCAAGAATGTCTGAATTATAACTTAACAATGAAAATAAACATCTGCTAGTGAATTATAAATCAAGTCCAAAATCACACACAAGAAATAACTTTATTATCACACACTGGCAAGTTAAACCATATTCTTTACAAACTCCTTTAAAAAGCACACTGTGCTCTATATAACCGTACACAGCTTATTGGCAATTCTATAATATGTGTGCTAATATTTGGACAATTTTCTGTGACTTAAAAATAAATCATAGCAATGTGCCAAGAACATAAAAGTTTTTGTAAATCACTTTTGATCTGACCTAGCTAGATCAGACATGCCCAAAGATGGAGTTTGGGGCTTTCCACAAAGGTAACTTAAGAGTAATTTCACAGAGATTTGCATTCTGAGCCAGGGCAGAGATATGGTACAACCATGTGGGTCCATCAATGACCTCTCTCAATCTGTCTCTCATTAAAATTTATGAAACACATCAGCGGGTCACAACTCCAGTGGTGGTAAGACCTTGGACAGTCTTCAATAACAAAGCGTGTAGCAGCAGAAAAACAAAAGCCTTAGGAATTATTCATCTCAGGGTCCCAACTCTAAAGGTCCTCAGGATTGGGCCTTTAAATTACCGGTTTCTTTTAAAACAAAACTTGAAAAATCTACACGTGCTTTTAAAGGAAAAGCCTTGCACCAGAACAAACTGTGTGTTAAAAATCACCCTTTATTAACAAAAGAGGCCTAAGAATCGATAAGCCGCTTAATTAAACTTCTGCTTCCAGCCAAGAGGGAGTAAGAAAGACCAGATTTATCCTCCCATTTGAAACAGCCAAAAACAAACACGTTTTTTATATGAAACAACAGTTTTCAACACTAGAACAAAACAGAGAAAACGACAGTTTTCAAGACACTAGGAAACCAAGCAACAAAAGACAGTGATCCCTGAGAGGCAGGAAACCAAGCAGGTGAGTTGTGGGTCTCATTGTTCCCGCTTAGTGTACTCGGATACAGGACCTACACATCATATTCGGGTCTGGTGCATTTCATTTGTGCTATTTTTTAATTAAAAAAACAAATGCCCTATCTTTATAAAAGATGGTATGAGGGTGTTTCTGCATATACTTTTGGATAAAATCGTATCACCTACAAACATGAACAGTAATTCAGTTGCCTCTTTTCAGTACCTTTACCTATTTTGTGTTTTTTATCTTACCTGGCAAGAACATCTACTATAAAGTTGACTTGTAATGATCATATGGGCATTCTTACCTTCTTTGATCTCAAAGGTAAGGCTGTCACTATTTCACCATTAGTATGGTACTTTCCGTAGGTTTCTTGTAGAAATGCTATAACCAATTATGAAAATTCCCACCTGTTGAGATTTTTTTATAATTTGTTGATGATTTTTAACCAAAGTTGTATCTCCATCCACTGAGATGATGGTATGATTTTTCCCCTGATAATTAGTTAATATGATAAATTACATTATACATGTTTAAATGTGAAAGCACCCTTGCCAGCCTACAATAATCCCAACTTGGTCAGGTTTTTAGATCTGCTAGATTTAGTTGGCTAATATTGTGCTTAGGATTTTTGCCAACCATATTCATAAATGAGACTGTGATCAGTAAGTCTCCTTTCTCATGTAGTTGTCTGTCAGGCCTGATTCAGCCAGAAAATGTTCCCCATGTGTGCTCGGGAACAGGCTGTGTAAGATCGAAGATTGTTTTTGTTGCTAATGTTGAATGGCAGGTACAACTTGCCAGCAGAACTATCTGGGCCTGAAGTTTTGTTTGAAACAAGATTTTTAATGATTTCATTTCTTTAATTGTTACAGGATTATTCAGAATTTCTAATTCTTAAGTCAGTTTTGAGAAATTTTATTTTTCTAGACATTTATTGTCTAAAGGCTCATATTTATTGCCATAAAGGAACTCCTATGCCCTCCTCTACTCATCTTAATCTCCGTGCACCTAACTTTTGTTTTTGATTCCTCATACTATTTGTATCATCACTCTACTTTCCCTTCACCGAGCTCACTTGACATTTGACCATTTTATTACTCTTTTAAAAAAAAAAAAAAAAAAAAAAACTTGGGGCACCTGGGTGGCTCAGTCGGTTAAGCGTCTGACTTTGGCTCAGGTCATGATCTCGCAGTTTGTGAGTTTGAGCCCCGCGTGGGGCTCTGTGCTGACAGCTCAGAGCCTGGAGCCTGCTTCAGATTCTGTGTCTCCCTCTCCCTCTGCCCCTCCCCTGCTCACGCTCTGTCTCTCAATAGTAAATAAACGTTAAAAAAAAAAAAAAAAAAAAACTTTCCTGAGCCTCTGTATTGCCTGCCTCCTTTGTTTCATTAATGTCTGTTCATCTTGCATTTTCTTTCTTTAGGCTTATCCTATTGTTCTTTTTCTAGCGTAAAAACAGTTGCCAAGCTCAATTTCCAGTGTTTCTTCTTTTCTAACATAAGCATTTAGCGTTACAAATTTTCTTCCAAGAATCACAGGTTTTTGATATGTTCTCATTCAGTTTTACAACTTTCCTAATTTCCATTACAATCTCTTTTATGATAGTACCTTCCGTTTGAAATTCATCCTTTAGAATTTCTTTCATTGAGCGTCTGTTAGTAGCAAGCTTACTCCGTTTGTGGGACTGAAAGTCTTTATTTCACCCTCATTCTTAAGAGATTATTTCCCTGGGTCTAGATTCTAGATGGACAGCTACTTTCTCGCAGCACATTAAAAATAACATTTCGCAGTCTTCTGGCCTCCATTGCTGCTGCCGAGGAGTCAGGTGTCCATAGAATCGTTTTTTGCTAAGTAGTCGGTCTTCTCTGTTTGCGGTGCTCTGCAGTACTGAACCTGACGCTGAGTCTGCCTAGTTCTTCATCTTCTTTCTCTTTCAACACCTACTGAGCTTCACTGGAATTTCTAAACCATGTGGCATCCCGTTCATTCTGGGAAACTCTGAGTGATTCTTCAAATACTGTCTTTCTGCCAGTTTCTCTACCTCTCCTTCTGGAGCTCTTTGTCTAAACTGTGCTGTGTTCTGGATAATTTTCTAATATCTACTGTTCCATTGACCAATTCCCTCTTCAGCTGCGCTTAATGTCCTGTTAATCCTGTCTTTAGGTTTATTTCAATGACTGTTTCATTTCTAGTTCTATTTGATCTTTTTTCAAAGGGCTTTTTTTCATTTTTATAATTTCTTGGCTATGTACTCATTTTCTCCATTTCCTTTTTTCCCCAAATTATTAAACATATTTATGTAACAGTGTGTGTCTGATAATCCCACAATCTGAGGCCCTTGTATTTACTACTATTTTGCTGCTCCTGCTATCTATCTCTCCTACTGGTCTATTTCCTAGAGTGCTTGGCAACCTTTGACTCTAAATGCATATCCCTTGAAACTTTACCTGAAGAAATACTTCGGGCTCTGTGTGGAAAGTGGGTTCCTTCTCTACTATGTCTGCCAGAACCAGAAACTTGAAGACACTTACCAACTTGGGATCACTTTAAACTATAATCTTGGCCTGATACTGTGTAAGATTCCTAGTTTCTTTACTATCCTGAAATTTATTAAATGCCCCATAGTAAGACTTTTGAGTATAGATAGTAGCTTGAATATGTGCAACTAATCTCACTCTTACCTCATTAACAGTGAAAAGAACTGTTTAAACTTTCTTGTTTAAATTTGAAACTAGGAAAAGAGATGAGTGGCTGATGCCTAAATCAGCAGTAGAGAAAGCAGAGACTAATCAGTTTGTACCACACAAGCCCCTCAGTTCTCAAGAATCAGTGACATCAAACTCCTCGGGAAGTAGGGGTAAAATGAAGAAAGCAATAAAAAATAAACAAAATTAACTAACAGTGAATCCTACTTCCTACCCTTTAGAAGGGCATACCTTCACAATACCCTTGAAGATCAGGTTCCAGCTATACCTCATGCAGCTTTTGGCTTCAGCATCCCTGCTCCTGTGGTCCCCTCTACCTGTAGTATCCATGCCCTATCCCTACTTCACCTTAATAGCTCAGAATATAGTAAGTATCCAACAAATATCTATTTGAACTAATCTAAGAACTACAGGACCATGATCCATCAGAGCAGTTAGATCCTAAGATATTTCTCCCATATTCTGCATATTTGCAGCATGTTTTCCACTCCAGCAAAAGGCTAGAAATATTTTTCTTCTCCAGGGAGGACACCTGGCCGAGATGAAGGCATGAGGCCATACTGAAAACAGGGGGATCTAATAAATATATGAATTCTGGATGCTGAGACTTCCAACCCAATTCCTCTCTGCTCTCAAACTTCTGTATCCAGAGACTGAAAGAAGTGCTCCAGGGA